CCTCGAAATGATCGAATTACTTATCGATACGATCTCCAAAAACGACAATATCTCCATCAAAAGTCTCGGTATCCAATCCAACAATAGTGTCTCATCATCCTCCGAAATCCTCGATGACGGCGAAGAATTACCTGAAGAGCAAACTATCAAGAACGTCTTACTGAGCCTAGGCGACTTTGCATCCGAAGACGTATCTCGCACCAGCACGTTTTTCCGTCTCGGCATCGACTCGGTCATCGCTATTCGCTTCGCCAAGGAACTCCGCAGCATCGGCCTCCAAGTGTCATCTGCGGACATCGGGAGATATCCCAGCATTGCAGCTTTAGCGCGCGCGGTTTCGAGCAAGAGCAAGACCCCATCGACTGCTAAGCCTGCGGTGACAAAAACGACAAATTTGTTGGATCAACATAGAGCGAATATTCCTCTGCTGGCGGAGGATGATAAAATTACTGATATCTATGCTTCTACCCCCCTGCAAGCCGGCATCTTGACCCAAACGGTTGCCACGGGTGGAAAACTCTATCTGCATCATCCTGCCGTCAAGCTCTCTTCGAAAATCGATATCCCGCGTTTGAAGAAGGCGTGGGCATCGGTAATCGAAGCGCATGATATTCTGCGCACCACATTCCACTATTTTGAAGGAGCGGCTCATCCATGGTTAGCCGCCGTGCACGAAAGACCAGCTATTCAATGGATCGAAGAGCAAGCATCTGGATGGATCGACCAAAGCATCGAAAAGATTATCGAATCAACCAGTTTCCCCACTCCCGAGTCCTTCTCGCAGACTCCTCTCAAAATCACCATTCTCCACTCGTCGTTTATGAAAGTCCTCGTGCTGTCGATTCATCACAGTCTCTATGATGGGTTTTCCCTCCCTCTCATTTTCGATTCCATGTCATCCGCTTACTCGCGTGGAATATCGAAACCTCTCACTCTCTTTTCCGAAGCTGCGAAACTTATTACCGCGCGTCAGGGTAAAAGCGTCGAGTTCTGGTTAGATAGGTTAGATAATTATCAAAGCATCGCTCTACCATCTTCCACCGTCTCTGCAGAAACTACCTCCCTGGCGCAGTCGACCATCCAAATGCCCGTGGCGGAAATCCTTCTCCGCTGCCAGGAAATGAATATCAATCTGCAATCTGCGGCGCTCCTCGCATACGCCAAAACCCTCTTTTGTTTTGTCAAGCGCCGTGATATCGTCTTCGGACATGTCGTGTCCGGTCGTTCGTTACCTCTTCCAGAGGTAGAACATATCCTCGGTCCGCTTTTCAATACTGTTCCTTTCCGAGTTGTGTTGGATAATCCAGTGCTGGGAAACCAGGATTACGCGACTCAAATTCAAGATGTGGTTATTCAGGGACAGGAACATCAACATGCTTCCCTGTCTACGATCCAGAAACTTTGGAGACAGAAAAATGTTTTCACCGATGGGTCGTTGCTGGATGCGTTGTTTGTGTTCCAGAAAGTGGGAACGACAGAGGAGCGGAAAGAAAAACTCTGGAGCGTGATGGAGGGCGGCGAGAGTCGCGATGCGACGGAGTATGGGTTAAATGTTGAGATTGAGCAGGGAGAGGACGAGGTAATCATTAGTGCTGGGTCACCTGCTGGACGCATCAACACCGAAGATCTGAATCTGATCTGCAGAACTTTTGATGAGGCTCTGAGAGATATTCTGGAAAATCCTCAAAGATGCGTTGTTGCTTATCCGGAGCAGTTGAAAAAATTACCACTTGAGAGTATACCCCAGAGCAAGATGGAAAGTGTGGAAGATCACAGAAATGTAGCGGATGCGCCGATGCTGGAAGTTGTTCGTGCAGCTCTTGCAGAGGTGGCTAATCTACCTATAGATTCTGTAACGTTACAGACGAGTATCTTTTCCTTGGGCGTCGATTCCATTGCTGCAATCCGTGTCGCATCTATCTGTCGCAGACGCGATGTACCCATTAGCGTTGCCGATATCCTACAAGGCAATTCTCTCGGTGGAATCGTCCGGATTCTCGTCGCAAAATCGAAGATCAATACTCAACAGCAAGATGCGACGACAGAACTTCTATCCCCTGAAGCCAAAGCAAGTGCACTTTCGCTACTCAAATACCCCAAAGATACCGTGCAGGAAATCTTACCAGCGATGGCGGGGCAAGAATATCATTTGGCGAGCTGGCTGAAGTGCGGAAGAACTTTCTACGAACCGACTTGGGCTTTCCAAGCGCGCGAGAAGATTGATATAGTGCGTTTGAGAAGTGTGTGGAGGGATTTGCAACTTCGACACCCGATTTTGAGAACGGTGTTTACGGCTCCCGCACCCGAATCTGCGTATCAGATTATCCTGAAACCGGAAGTCATCACCGACGGAACTTTCACCGTTGTCTCGGCTCAATCAGCAGATGAAGATTTAGTTTCAGCCGTCCAACGTCAAGTCCACCACTGGGCTCAACGACCCTCTACACTTTTCACTCCTCCCATTAGTCTCTGTGTAGTCCAGACCGCAGCAGCAGATGCCGTGTTATTCCGAATCCATCATTCTCTCTATGACGCATGGAGCATGATCGCTCTCATCAAAGAAGTCTGCACTCTCTACACCCAGCCCTCATCCATCTTACCCTCCACACCCGATTTCATCTCCTTCGTCAAATACACGCATTCCTCGCTCTCCTCCCCCTCCGCGCTCTCCGTACAAAAATCCTACTGGAAATCCACTCTCCACTCCGCTCAACCCACCATCCTCACACCATCTCCCTCAACCCCAAACCAAGATCTGAACCAAGACCAAAACACAACACAAACCTTCCTCCTCCTCAAAAACGTCATCCCCCACCTGCACACCCTCCACCTCCTCGCCCGCACCCACAACACCAGCATCACCACCATCCTGATGCTCGCATTTGCACGGGCCCTCGCCCATCTCACCCACACCATGCACCCCACCTTCGGATTCTTCCAAGTCGGCCGCGCGAGCGCTTTCGACGGCGCAGAAACCGTGCTCGCGCCAACCGTCAATCTACTCCCCGTCTCCATCGCCGTCTCCGACCGCGCGGAAAGTGATATCCTGCTGGAGATCCAGAGGGATATGAGTCAGCGGGTTGCGTGGGAACAGAGTTCTCTGCGAGATGTGGTGGCGTGGACTGCGGACGATTCGCAAAAGCGACCACAGCCATTGTTCAACGCGAGTCTGAATTTGTTATTCCATGCCCCTGGCAGGAATTCTCCTTCTGCTTCTCCTTCTCCTTCTGCTTCTCCTTCTCCTTCTGCTTCTCCTTCTCCTTCGACCCCAGCAAAAGAACCTCAAGCACCCGAACTCCTCACCCCCCTTCCCATCGGTGTCCCCACGAATTTCGCCCCCAAGAAAAAAATCAAAGGGGAAACCGCGGTGCAGAGGATCGAAACGGGGTATTTGGCGGAGCGGAACGTGTTTGTGGATGTGGGGGAGGGCGAAAATGATTGTGTGGATTTTGGGGTCAAGGCTGATGCTGTGCTCATGGGTGAAGCGGAGATTCAAAGATTTGTGGAGGGGATTGCGAGGGAGGTGGAGGGTATTAGGAGGGCTTTGGGGAGATTGGGATAATGAGTTTGTTGTGTGTGTGATGTGTGTGGAGTGTGCATATGTGGATTATATGTATATAGATAGATAATCAGAGTTATTTATTGTTTTTGGTAGTGTTAGAGGTTTGTTTTTGACTGTTTTAGTTGGGGATATTGGGTTTAGATTCTAGGTGTTAGATTTAGTTTTTAGATTTAATTGTTAGTACTAATAGTATGATTGATTAGTTAGGAATCTTAGCTTGCAGCTGTTTATATTATAGATATATAATCTACAATTCAAATCCCAATCCAATAATATAGTAATAAACTCTATACTTCGATATCTTCATATCTCTCTACCTTATACCTTATACCTTTATACCTTTATACCTTTATACCTTTATACCTTTATACCTTTATACCTTTATACCTTTATATCTATTTATCTATTTATCTCTCCCCCCTTTCTATCTATCTACTTATTTACTTTTTTCCCTCCCTCTCTCCCCCCTTTCCCCCCCTTCCTTTCCCCTTTCTATTTCTTTACCTCTATATCTCCTCCCTTATTTATTTATACCATTATTTCAATTTTTTTCAATTCTTTAAGCCCTAATTCCAAACTAACATATCTAGAAAACACCTCCAACACCTCTAATACACACACAAAAACAAGTAGCTTACCTTATAGTCTTTGCATAAACAAGTTCGATTTACCTCCCTCCTGTTCTCCCTTCTGTTCTCCCTTCTGTTCCCCCTTCTGTTCTTCCTTCTGTTCTCCTTCTGCTCTCCTTCTACTCTCTTTCTACTCTCCTTCTGCTCTCTTTCTACTCTCCTTCTGCTCTTCCTCCTGCTCTCCCTCCTGCTCCTGCTTGGTTGGCTATCTAGCCGAGTTATGAATTCATTAAAAAATGAACAATTTAAGCAATCACTAATAAGTATATCAATTGAATTTCAATTTCAATTTCAATCTCCATTTCAATCTCCATCTTTATCTTCATCTCTATCTCCATCTCCATCTCCATTTCTATATCTATATTCATTTCCATTTCCATTTCCATTTTCATTTCCATTTCTATGTCAATATCTAAATCCATTCACATATTCAAATACAACAAACCACATTCCATTCAATCACATCCCATTACATCTCATCACATATCCAAAAATAATATCAAGTAATACATAAATAATCCAAATTCAAATTCACTGTCAAAGAACAAAAGAGATTCATTTCACTAAGCAGCTAGCTACTCGGGTATCAAAATCGCATCCCCATAATCCAAAGATATCCATCATATCATCACATAACCGTTAACAAGTCCAGCAAATCATTATCCGTTGCATCCATATGCATCATATCTAGTACATATCCAATCAGGTATCATCCTATCCTATCCGGCCTTTCCCACACCCATACCCACATAATCATAAGCATTAATCATTAATCAAACAAAGAAAAGAAAACATCGCCCTCTCATTCTTCACCATCTCCCTCCCCTCCCTCCTTCTCCATCATCCCAAACGATTCTTTCATCTCCTCTCCTTCGCCCACTTCCCCCGCCAATAGTAGTCCTCCTCTTTGGCATGTACCCCTCCTCAGGTCCCTTCTGCCTTTCCTTCAACCTATCCAAAACCTCTCTATCTCCATCGCCCCTCCCTGAAAAACTTGCTCCTCTCCCTAGCCCCGATGCATATCCATCATCCCTTGCTTGCCTCTCCCTCAATCTAGCATACATCTCATCATCCTCCTTTTTCCATCTCGCTGCATCATCTCTCCTATCAATTCCTCTCTCCACCTCCTTTCCCCTACTAGGCACAGAGGGTCTTCTCCTAATCTCCTCATCCTCCCTTGCAAATGCCTTAACCTGTTCTTCTAACCTCCTTGCATCATCCGCAGCTTTTCTTTCCGACTTCTCCACCTTCCTCATTCTTTCTTCCCGCACTTTATCATCTAATGCCTCTCTTTCTCTCTCGCGTCTATGTTGATCTTCTCTTCTCTTTTGCTCATTCTCATCTGCTCTACGAAGCTCATCATCCCTTCCCCTTCTTTCCCTTTCTTTTTCTCGTACTAAATCTTCTTCCCTTCTACGATCAGATTGAGATCTTTCTCTTTCTCTTTCTCGCTCTAGATCTCGAACCCTCAATAATTCCTGATACTCCACCTCCCTTCTTCTCTCATCCTCAATCTCCTTTCTCCTTCTCTCCCTCTCAGCTTCTAACGCCCTGCTCATTTCTTCTTTCTCCTTCACAAGTTGCCTCTGTGCTTCATGAACTAGCTGGAAACTCTTCTGTTGATCTCGATCAAAATCTCTTTGCCTCTTTTTTTCCCTATCTTCTTCCTCACGACGAATACGCATATCGACCAATGCCTTCTCACGACTAGGTGAACGCGAGGGGGGTTCAGGGGCTAGAATGATCGGAAGTTCTCTCAAAGGTCTTTCTCTTTCCTTGCTATGATCCCTCTGATCTCGATGATGTTCTACAATGACCGTACGAACAGGATTGAGACTGCCATTCGGACTACGTCTTGGAGTTGAACGATCATCTAGTAAAAGATTCTTCGAGTAGAATTCTTCCGTGGCGGGTGAATCTGGAGCATATTTTGAAAGAGTCTTGGAACCTTCGGGACTATCTGGTGCATCGACAATAACAATGCGTTCTTTAGGATGTTTGCGACGTGGTGTGGACGCTGAGACCAAAGCACTCTGCTTTCTTACAAGACGAAGACGAGGTTCTCGACCTGGCGATTTGTCTCTCTTGTCACCTGGAGAGTAACGATATGTACTTGTTGTTGTAGATTTCTGAGGTGCAGGCTTGACAGTAGGAGGTACTTTGAGACCTTGGTCGAGGTATCCTTTGCTGGAAAGTTCATCGTTGGATTCAAGAATTCGAGGAGGATGTTCGTTGGTGATATGAGCAGCACAAGAGATTCCATCTTTTGCATTAGGGCAGACTATTGTTTGATGAAACTCGACTGTTCGCTTGGGGTAGCAATCGGTATAGATGTGTGTCACGCACATTGTGACGGTAAACTTTGAGACTTCGGCTCGGATGTGCTGAGGTAGAACTTGTCCTCCAAGACCTGAAATCGACCTGTATTATCGAGTTGATATCAAAACGATGAGAAGTTTCCCACTGGGCTTAGGACTTCTTTGGGTTGAAGAGCAAGATGTATTCGCTCGAGGTAATAGGTATGTATGTGTGTATGTGTGTATGTGTGTGGGTGAAAGTTGTTTCGTATTATATTATATGACCGAAGAGAAGAGTAGATATATAGAGAGATGTGCGTTGTAAGATACAACAAGTATGGTTGTATAAGGGCTGAGTGGAGTATATCAAGCGACAGGAATGTGAAGGATGTTGTATTAGGTTAAACACAAGCAGTGATATGTTTAACAAAAGAGAGAATGTGGAGAGAAACGTGCGGTTAGGATGGAGGGTATAGAGGAATTAAGTATTCTCTCTGAACACTTGAATAGATTTGACTGTACCAGGAGTGTGACTGCCTAATAAAAAGGTCTTATAGTATCCTTTAGGTCAATACTTGTGGCCGGTGACTGTGCATTTAGTGTGGGTTGGTTCCAAACTTTTATTTCAGTAGAAAAGGTGTGGGTGAGTGAGTGAGTGGGTATTGAATATAAAAGAAAAAGAAAAAAAGAGTCGACCAACTTTGCATGACACTTTTTTGCTCTTTTGAAATAAGGTTCTGTAAATGCAAGTATTAATCGATAGTCGGAAGTATCACCGGGGAATGGGAATTTAGGAGATAGTCTTTTCCCTAGAGATTTGAGTGTAAAATAAAGGTGTTGAGTTTATGAATCGTACGGTATGGTATGGTATGAGTAGTAGGAAAGACACCTAGGGTTATTAAGAAAATATTATAAAAAAAGTCAAGAAACTGTTACAAAGATGTGAAAAAAATGGTCAAGAAAGTTTCCCTTCTCAGGAAGAAAGCGGCGAATGAAAAAGGCGCCTCAGCCACTCAAAGGGCTGAGTAAGACCCAAATCAAACCCAGATGGTCAACCAACTTCCCAAGTCGTCCCAAGTCAGGAATCGAGGCTTAAAATGAACCCATGAAAGTTAATAATGATGGATGACGGAAAAGATCAAAATGCAGGAGAAAAAAGACAAAAATGTCGTATGGAGTATGTATGTTGTCAGCGTGGTTTGTGATGAATGTCATGACATCCAAATGATTGGAATGTGACAGTTGCTATTGTGAAAATGGAGAAGTATGAATGCTCGAGTAATAAATCACTGCATCATATGAAAGGAAAATGTAAGAGAGAGAAAGACGCGAAAAGTACGAATATCCGAAAATAGAATCCCGATCAGATGGAAACGAATCCCATGGAGAAGAAGGTCGAGAGTAAGCCGAGTCTCCAGGTCGTATATGTCGTAAACGTGTAAATTGTCGCGGGACGGCCCTCAAATCTTCAGACCACAAACGCGCGTGTTGAGAGGGGGTTAGATTAGCTCTTATTCTATCCTATAACAATGGAATCCACAGAGGAGAAGGGCGTTTCAGAAAAGAATGACCTATTTTCAGACCCCAAAGGAGATTTGAAGATTGACCACTTTCTCGATGTGTGGAATCCAATGAAGGAATTATAGATGTATATGAGATGAAAAAGGAAAAGGAAAAGGAAAAGAAAAAGAAGAAAAAAAAAGCTGGAGTTGATGTTGATGTTGATGTTCATGAAGAGGTCGGATGGCCAATTGTTTCTCCTAGACCCCTGTTATTTACTGATTTGGGTAAGGTGATTGCTTAATTTGGTAACAATTTCGATGGAGAGATTTCACTATATCTCTTTTGAAGGTCACTGTGAGGTTTTGAGTGTGGAATAAAAGATGGTAGAATTATTAGAATGGTACCAAGGGCCAAGATATTGGCCCAGGATTAGCTAATCTAAGCTAAGCTAATTTAGTAATTACACGTGATAAAAGTATAACAGTCACGCTTACAACTCTTCGAGGAATATCCTTAGTTAATTAATTACTTATTTAAGTTAGTTAACTAGTTAACTTGTTTATTTATTTATTAACTTAATTTATCAATCGAAGAGCTACCTAACCTTGGACATCTTCTCGATTGAAGGATTAGAAAATTAAACATATCATATGAAGCCGCAACATTCCCCCAAATGTTTGTATAACGTTTCACGATCGAGATAAGTCTCTACTCTACACACTTGTTCCATCGTTTCCGTAAGCGCTTTCAAAACCAGCACGACTAACAACACTAACGATGGGATTCACTCATCTTCGACTACCTAGTTAGTAAGGTTACCTTCCATCAACAATCGACCAAAGAACGCTCGTGCCCATCTATCTAGACACAACTCACTCCTCTCCACAAGAAAATCACAAGAGTAATGACTCCCACCGCAAGGCCATCCGGTCAGACTCCGATGATGCATATCATACAGATAGATGGTGGATTATCAATCGAGCACTAACCTTAACATATCAAGCATATCAAGCATATCCATCCGTGGATATGTGCACTGACTCTCCTCTCCCGTCATCTGATCAAATGATTTCCACGGGAATCAAACCATCGTCATGGGAAATCTAGGTCGGCCTGTATCTGAAGTTGTGAAAGTTATATATATATATATATATAAATAGGTATTCAGGAGTAGTAAATTGTGAATCGATCAGTCAGTCTATCACAAATCTATCTAGAGCTACCTACCTACTCGTAGTAGACAATAAACACCACGCCGATTATATACCTTTAAAATCTCTCCATCTACCGGTGATCCATCTACCCCGACCCTCACAATATTCGAGATACTCACAACTGCTGAACATCCATTCCAGTTATCCTCAGCGAACAAACTCCTCAAATTACAATTTTCTACACACCAATATAAAATCATCCAAGTAAAATATCCATCACTTCCATAATATATTATCTACCCAGCTACTCACCTACTCACCTACCCACCTACCCACCTACCTATACCTATATCCATCACACACACACACACACACACACACACACACACACAGCCACAGCCACAGCCACAGCCACAGCCACATTTCATCATCTTATTCCCATCTCTACCTGCATCTATCTGTTCAACTACTCACTTCCCTACTTCCCTTCCCTCCCCTCCCCTCCCTTAAATGACGAAATCATACATCCATAGTTCATAAATCAAAAATCAAACCCATCCATGAATATCTCCAAACTTGCATTCCACGCTCAGATCACTATCACTATCATACTAATCCTACCTGGTACTAAAATACTATTACAACCACCCCGTGGACATCCCAGCACATAACACACACCACACATCACACATCACCATATAATCTTACATTCCCATCCACACCCACACCCATCAACCACCTAACTACCACCTACCTACCAATTCAGATCCCCACTCGAATAGATCCATGGGTGTGTAAAATATATACACACATACCTACATACATACCTACATACATACCTACATACATAGAAACCAACATACAATCCCATCTATTCATCTATTCATCTATTCATCATACAAATAACAAGTAATCAAAGAAACGATAACAATACCCAACCACAAACAAAAAAAACAACTTAGCGCTCCCTATTCATCATTTAAATGCATCCTATCCATTCCTCCTTGAGGATCCGAGAAACCTACTATATCTACTCGTACTACGTTAGACTAATAATGATAAGCCTTATGTGAACCTCATGTTGGCGTATCAAATAAATTATTAGGTACAAATTACCAATCCATACCAGCTGTACCCCACAATCAAAATCACAAAATCATCTCTCAAATATCGAATTGCAAAAATCGTATTTTCTCTCTTATAAATTTCCCTCTCCTCTCAACATAATATCCAACTCTAAACTCTACTCTTGCAAATCAATGTGTTCCACAATCCTAGCGATAAGGGTCTAAAGCTTGGGTGTCATACAATCTCGCTCCCACACCACAGCCGCCAGGGGCATGAAAAGATTCCAACACGATGGTTAAGGATGAAGGATTGCATGCATACTGTTTGTTTCTTAAGGTGTAGTGTCACGCAGGTACCCTTGACGATTGAAAGGCTATGAATACTTGATTATCTCGGATACAAAATCTTGGTAGGTCTCGTGCATGACTGCGGATATATGACTCGATGCGTGTCTTAGATAGACTTGAGTGGCCAAGATGATAAATTTTTCATCAAGGGAAGATTACTTTGGAATGAGCCTCTCTCATGCATGCGGGCATGTAAGAAGCCTATAGTAAGCCACGTGTGGTGCTTGCCCTTGCATTTCGGGATCAATTTTTTGCATGGCCACCACAAGCTTGAATCGTAAGATACCACCCCTCCCAATATCGAAACACGTGATGATGGTGACATCTGCCACGATCATCTGAAACCTAAGAGTAATGTCTTTAAGAAGTCTTTAATTGTGATTGATATAATGGATAGTATCTCCTCGAATATCGAATTCTAATCCACTTTGCAAGGAAACACCATCTATCGATTCCCTCTTTCTCGCTCAGACAGATGGTCACCTTGACCAACGTTTGATCAGCTGCTCTTTATGAACATTCTTTAGTTGTAACCTTTGTAGATTTACGGCTTCGAGATTTTCCTGTAAATTCTTGATTTCCTCCTCAAATGTATTAAATGACGATACAATATCTGGATCAAGTAGTTGAACCTCCCCGTATACTGAATCAGCTTGAAGGGCGTTGTAAAGAAGTTTCATTGTGACATCGGCATTATGCACATGTGAAGAAATGGTGGTTTCAGTTGTTGACTCCAGATTGGCCATGTGGTTCTTAAGTTTCTCTGTCCTTTCTTGAAGAGATTTCTCCAGAAATTCCGTCCGCGCGTCATCAGTATCGCTTTCGTTTGGAAGTGTGATGCCCAGATTGCGAAGTAATTGTTGTTCGGCGTCCATCTCTTCGAACAGTGAAGAACGTCGGCGATTATTGCGAGATTGTGCTTGTACCTGAGAGGTTTGTCGTTGACGTGTAATGGATGTGCTAGACTGTGAAGCTGCTTGATTTTGAAGCTCTTTCTTTCCGGTCTCTATTGCAAATTTAGTGGCCATCTGATGACACTGATATTCTTCGATGTGTTCTGCATATATCCCTGTACGCCTGACGAGAAAACTAAGGCATTCTTGCATCTAAAATGGATTGGTTAGAGATCTATGTCTATTTGTCAATGTAAAGAAACCTACGTATTTCAAAGCTTGGTAAGCTCGATCTTGGCCCGAATCTCCTTTGGCAGCGATTTCCCGTAATGCTGGTTCCAGATATTGCTGTTCGGCAGACATTTGAGCCACAGGCAATACCTCGGAGTATAATGATTCGAGCTCTTCTTGTAATTCGGCGACTTCCTGCTTGTTTGCATCTTGAGAATCTGCACTACCATTAAGAGCTTCAATGTATATTCGATCAAGCTTTGTCCTAACTCCGTCGACAGTATGTTTAATATACCTCGCACAAAGATCCCGTATCCTTGAAATAGTATCATGATCTTCTGAAGATCCAGGATCAAGCTCTTCCGCAAGCTTTTGCAAACTTGTCAATAGTCTATCATCCGCCTTGAAAATCTCGTCCACTGTCTGTTTGGCATCGGATTGTGATATTTTGTTTTGTTGCTCCAAATCTGAGAGCTGATACATCAAATTTTGAGACAGTTCCTCTACTGCTGAGGAGACCTGACCATTTTCTGCTTCCCATTTCCGTAGCTGTTTTGCATCTGCTTCTGTCCGAGCTACTCCCACCTTCTTATTGTTTTTGACAATCAAAGCCACAGCATTTTGTTGTGATCGGAGCGCTTCACTTTGCTTTTCAATCGCGGTAGTAGATCGTTGTAATTCCTCAATAGCGGTATGGAGTTGTTCATCACTCAGATCGGATATACTCGATGGATTCTGTGAATTTGCTAGTTTATCTGCATCCCCTGATTGTGACAGTACACCATGTCTATCTTATATTAGCATCATTCGCAGAATATATGGGTGCCAACTCACAGTGCGACTTCATCCTTGGTCAGTAGTGTTTCTGGACCAAGGTATTTTGAAATCCAAGCTTCAACCGCAGCTGGACTACGAGCATAATCGGATTTGATTGCATTGCGATCGAAAGGTATGCCATAATCTTCTAGGATCTGTAAAAGAAGTTCAAGGTTGCCGCCTTCCATAATGGTCAAAGTTCGTGGTACCACAACCTTTCGAAAGTTTTGATGCACGTCTGAGGCTAAATTTAGCTATAGACTTTAGGAGAATGTAAAGATTTTATTGCAGATTTGAAAAGATGAAGGTTCCAGGATCCTAGAAAACATTGACCAGTAAGTTCTGAAAGAGAAGGTATAGAACACGAGCTCGGGGCGTATTATCAATTTTGTGCTGAATTGGTGATATTCGTTTGTTTACATTACATCGCCAGTGAATGCTGGAGATTTATATTTACCCCACAAATTTGATGTCGGACAACAACTTCCTTTCTGATTTGTCCCATTGCAAAAACCTACATTCACCAGGATTCAATATTTTGAAGTCGTTTTACCTTTCTTGATTGAGGAGCCAAAATATGTGAAGCATTGAAGAAATAATCGTATTTCTCACAATCTCACAATTGCAATGATACCAGGTTGGCAGGCATGAGGATACATTTTCCTCCGATATAGGTCATGATTGTGGGAGATAAGCTAGGTTGATTGAGCTCTCCGGGTTCCCACTCGGTTAAGACAGTCGTGATGAAGACATATTATCTAGGTATCCTAAGAATTTTCATTCGCTCTTTTTATGTTTAACTTTACCCTTTTGTACACTTCAGGTATAAAGGAAATGAGAAGAGTCAATTCGATTGACATAAGTTGAAGAGCCATCTGAAGGCATTCACAATGGCTCCGAAGATCCCAGAATTTATCTCGGATGGATTCGAGGCTCTCAAATTGGTGGGTTTTGATATCTTTAAGCTTTTGAGAAGACCTTTATTGACATAATATAGGTAGCTCAACTATCATGGAGACGCAATGTGAAAGCTTGGATTCAAGTCCCTTTTGGCATTGTTTTGATTCTTCTAGCATGCTTCGGTATCAATGCTCTTATAGGACTCAGTTCAGTCTCATTTCCTGCATCTGTGGCGTGCTTGATTTTGCTATTTTTGATTTTGAATCTTATTGATTTGGTTATTGGTCACCAAAGAACGAGAGCTTTGGTCTCAATTATTGATATTCCAGCTGGATGGGCTCTTCGATACATCAATCTTTTTTTCACGCCCTCGTGAGTCATCATCTTTACATAAAGGAGATCAGATGTTAAAGGTTGATAGTTTCGTCCTGTTGCCCTTGAGTGATAGTATCACTGCTACAGAAGTAGGTAAAATCATAGGAGTATTCCGTGAGTTCGGCAACGCTATATCTACCTTTCTATTGCTGATTGTTTGAAGTCGTTGGGTTCTTGGTTATGTTCGCCATCACAGCCTGGTTGGTTCGCGGTCTGCAAGTTCTAGTAGGTTCGACTAAGCGTGCTATCACTGAAAGGGCGGAAGAAATGGGCGCCGAGAATGATGCTATTCCTCTCGCAGTGTCGAGTAATACCGACTTCACGTCAACCGACACAATTAGTCCTATACAGGAACAAGAGCTAGCTGTGATTAGAGATGCTAGAGATCCACGAGAGTCACCGCAAACAGAAAGTCCACCGCCAGAAGCTATCTCTAGTACCACTCAGGTTCAACAAGAGCCATTACCACTCACACGAGCTCAAGTATGGGCGGCGTTCATTAACAGGAACTTAGATTTACTCACCTACAGCGTCATGTTCCTTTTCATAGGAATTCCTGTTTACTATGCTACCGGCTATGCAATGCCAGTACAACTTACTTTTAACGTACTAGCTTACTTTGCAGCACAATCCCTCCCAGTCCGTTGGAAGCAATTTTTACACCCTGTTTTACTATCATCTGGCATCACTATCCTTGGTATATGGATCTTGGGACTTGTTAAAGGCAACAACCTAGGTGAGATCTTAGGAGATTACAAAACCAATACCAAATATATCGCCTACTGGGATGGAGAAGGAAATCTTCCTCTACCCGGTGCTGGTGATATCTTGTGAGTACTCCCATCTTGAAACACTCCTCTGGCTCCCACGAAACCCGGAAATCTCAGCTGACAACCTTGTTCACTATAGTAATAGCATTCTCGACGCCTCCATCGTCTCCCTCGCTCTTCCCATGTTTCAATACCGCCACGAATTAAAATCACACTTCATTCCTATCACAATCCCCAGTGTTGTTCTCGCTATCGCTTCACTATTCGGTTATCCCCCTCTCTGCTACTCTCTCGGTATATCCCCTCCAATTTCTCTTTCATTCTCCGTGCGTTCATTGACTCTCGCCCTCGCTACCCCTGCCGCCACCAACCTGTAAGTAAACTATATTCTTTTTTAAACTTCCAAATCGACCCAATAACAAACTAACCTTTTTCTCTCTCAAGTGGCGGGAACACCAACGCAGCTGCCGCTCTTGCCATCATGTCCGGTATTCTCGGTGTTTTGATTGGTCAACGTCTTCTTACTTTCCTCAAAATTCGCCCTGATGATTACATCACCATCGGAGTTGCTATGGGTGGAAATGCGAGCGCAATAGCTACTGCATTATTACTAGTTAGTGACCCGAGAGCTGCAGCTTTAAGTAGTTTGAGTATGAGTCTCTTTGGGATTGTGACTCTGGCGTTGACTTCTGTGCCGCCGGTAGTGGATATTATTAGGGGGTTAGTCGGTTTGTAGGAATCTTGAAGAGAGATAAAGGAATAAGATACGTATATGTTGGTACTATAGAGGTTAAAAGTAAGATGATGTACAATTCAGACTTAGGAGAATCAGAATTCTTGAATAATAACATCGTAAGACGTACCGAGTATCAACGGATATACTTGAATCTCCTTCAAGTTCTCTCTTCCTCAATCTATTTCACTCTGTATGCCCCCACTCCTCTATCTTTCCCTCGCACAAAACCTTCGGAGTAGCATCAGGCGCGTTTTACAAAAAGCCCAATTTTCAATCTCCAATCCCATCACATCTCCCCCCTCCCGCTCTCCCGCTCTCCCGCTCTCCCCTCATCTCACAATTAAACTTCTCACACATCCCATATCTCTCGCCTCTCGCCCCTCTCAAAGAACCATATAGCACATACCAATTAAAACTATGCAATCCCAATCTAATCCCAGTCCAATACAATCATCAACCTTACCCACCTACTCTTCCAAATCTCCATTCCCCATCTTACAAATCCCGAATACACAATATATAATACATAGTATATCCAACATCCAATATCCCCCCCTCTAAAATACATCAACTCCTTCTCTAGCTCTCCAAATCTCTAGATCTCCGGGTGAACATGCAATACCACATAAACCAATATAACATTCTATAACACAATAACAAAAAATACTTATACTTCCCTATCTATACATTCCTATATACATACTTACTTACTTACTAACAAGAATTAAGAATCAAAAATCAAGGATCAAGACTACAAATGCTATCTTCGTTTCAACAGCACAGGGAGGTGATAATTGAAGAATCCTGGAGAGATTGATAGCACAATACTCTCTCTCAATTTCCAAATCCATAGATGAATTGATCAGTAGGTTCATCTTGACTTCAATATACGGGTAAATGTGTAAATGCAGATACAGCTATATAGGTAGGTATCTATACCATATCGACTCATCCGATGTATACCGAATATAGTGTAGATGAAAAATCAATGATATGATATATCTCAAGCTCAACATACCGTGGTCGTGTTAAGAAAATGGACTTAAGGAGGAGTATTAGTATTCGATATCACGGATCACTAGATACTTGGTATTGTTTGTCTTGAGTATGGATGTGTAGCTATGGGATTTGTATTTAGTATAGGTGGGTAGGTAGGTAGTGAGAGCATTGGCTTTAATGCGATTTTTCTATAGTAGGAGAGGGATTACTTCTGTAATTTCAGGAAAAAGCTTTTGTATCAAATGGACAGCGCAGTGCGAGACCGTTTGAATACAGACCTTCTCTTCTTCTCTTCCTCCCAACTTTTCAACAACGATTTCATCTATACCCTCTTCTTTTCTCTATTTACCCGTGGAACTCTCACAGCTTACAACTTTCCCTCAAGCACCATCTTTCCTCCCATGAATCCACACATCCCGATCAATCCCATCTGAAACAACCAAAACCAAATACCCTTATATCTTCCCTTTCCACCCACACCCCCCTTACTATACCCCGTCATATAAATCCACCTACTAACCGTCCACGCACCGCCCAATACGGCTGCCGATCGCGGGAACTCCAATCCAGCAACCAACATTGCCGCCACCGCTACCGAGTGGTTTTCTGTGAAATTCGCATGTGCGCGCTGCGCGCAGTTGAATTGATGTGCTGCGGTGTCAGTACGGGAGGAGGGAGCATAGGCGGCTGGATAGTCGATTTTGGCGGCTTTGCGGTAGGAAGCGGTGTTGATGCCGTGCCAGAAGTTAAGGACGAAGGTGGAGGTCGCGGCGAGGATTACGTAGCTGGGACGTAGGTGTTAGTGGCATGGTAGATGGAGGTGGAAGATGCAGGGAGAGAAAATCTATGTACATACCCGTAATCGGCATCGAGAGTGATGGTAACCATTTTTCTGGATCGATTTGAATCTTTTGAGATATGTGTTGTTTCGTTTGGAAAATGTATCGAATTATAGAAATCGAGTTATAGGTGTATAAATCCTCTTCAAAAATGGTAAATTGAACGAATTGATTAGTTAGAGAAACTGTACTTTCCTCTTCTTGCTTTCCTCAACAAAAACAGCAAGTCCCCTCACAATATAAACAAACCCAAGCTCAAAAAATCCACTCAAACCAAACCGCATCCGCATCCACATCCACCTAGGCAAACGTATTAGAAATCAATAGATCATTCCAAAGTCCAAAGACCTTCGATCTTCATCGAAACACAGACCTTCCAAGCTCCAAACCATGAATGTGGAGAAGGAAAATCGTAGACCTCGGACATATATCTCCTCCGCGCCCCGACTCGCGGTGTCTTCTTTCCTCCGTGTCGTCGGACTTCGTGCCATGCATCTACACATGAGTACATCCACATGCGTAGAGATGTATGTGAGTATGTGTATGTGTATAGAAAATTCCCCCGTCCATCCGCCCGTACGATATGAATCCCACCTACCTCTGCTCTCGTAAACATGCGTGCGTGGTAAATCAGGTACGATGAGAAGTAAGCATCTTGGTCATCCGGCATCCATCAATCGGCGAGACACACCATATCTCACTCCGTATCACTTACTTCACTCACAATCCGAGCATATCCCACCACGACCGGACATTCTCCCTCGGAGACGGGGTGCTAACTGAGAAATGGGATAAGAAGAGAGGAAGGGAATGCGTGAATTTATACTCACTTCTTTCATATCCGTATAAATAATGTATTATCATTTGATAGGTACTAGATTAGCGTATCTAGTAGGTAAGTTGGGTGTTGAGTAATCAATCAAGTGAATGATGAATGAGCACGTCATGTCTATGAAATATCTTATCATTGGAGTTTAGTTTGCTCTGTCGACATGGGATTAGCCTTCCGTTGTTGGGAATGTATGTATTGGCAACTTAGAATGGGAATCGTGGTGATTGCATATATTATGCTTACCTACTCCATGCTGAACCAAACCATCGGGTATCAATCCCTTCCTTCCCCTTCCTGCCTTTCCGGTTCCACAAGAGCATACAATGAGTTTATCTATCAAATCAGTATTAAGACAACCAACTCATTATATATAAATATATAAACTCATACAGTCTCAACATTTGATAATCAATATCTCAATCTCAATCTCAATCTCAATCTCAATCTCAATGCCATTCCTCCCTCCTCTCCCCCTTCTCTTCGTTTCCAAACAATATCCCCAACACCCCGTCGTCTACCTACCCATCCATCTATTTCAATATTTCAACCTCTTTTCCAACGAATCCTGCACACTACACCATCCTCTCCATCCATTACAATATTAGATTTATATACATATGACAATAGCAAATATCAAGCAATAATCACTCCTACATTCACTCCAAGATCCTCTCTCAAATCCCAATTCCCAAACCCCAATTCCCAATTCTGTATCTTAATACACACATACACGCATAAATATAGCACGTAAATTACGCTTTACACTACCTTCTCATCTCCTATTTTCCCTTTTCTTCCCTTTCTCCACCCTCCTTAACCCTTTTCACCACATAATCCCATACTAAAAAACCATACCATACCACCCCTTCCACTTTCCTTTCTTCCCTTTCCCTTTCTCCTCTACTTCGCTAGGAAATATGATCATCTCGTCTCATCTCATCTTTTCTATCCATCCATCCATCCATCCATATATATATATCTTCTTTAAGATCTTAAGATTACTGGTACAGGATGGGGGTAGGTGGTTAGTAAGGAGGGGTAGGAAGGTGTGTTTATATGTTTATATGTTTATATGTTTATATGTTTATATGTTTATATATTTATTTTACAATTTTAGTGAGGGAAATATAGAGTTAGATATAAAATGAGGGAGAAGAGAACTAACTAGCGAAAAAATACCGAAAGATTAAATACAAGATATGAAATCTAAATTACAAGATATTGAGATTCGATTTAATGGGAAAAGTGGGTTAGAACTTAGTAAGGAGGAGTAGGAGGGTATGAGATGGGATATGAAGATTCAAACGAGAGATCATATCTATTGGTGGGTAGAAAATAGGAAGGTATATAGACTTTCACTTCTACACTGATTACCTAGTACTTTCGCTTCCAGAAAGAGTATGTATATGATTACTACCTTTGTAATAGTAATCCATTTGGGTTTTATATGGAAGTGTCGCTCTGCACTGCAATGTAATGTAATGTGATAGTCACTATTCCTAGGCCATATGATATATACTCACTGGCCAACAATTCATCATTCTCATCTCTCAATTCCCCCCTCAGACCTCTCTCAAACCTCCCTCAAATCTCATCATATCCATTCTTCCCCTTCACCACCCCAAACGCTCCACCCCCCTTCCCAAACATAGCTCTCATATCCCTGGCCAACAACTCCGGCTTCTCATACGCATAGAAATGCCCTCCCCCCTCTTTCGAATTATCACTTTCAAAAACCACATCTCCCAACTTTCTCCCCCACGCCTTCGGCACCACGATCAACTCCTTCGGATTAAACGTCAATCCCAATTTCACCTCCCCAATATAAATACTCGCATCATCCATCGACATTTTTCTCTCCCCAGGCTCCGTATGCTTGAATTCATAGTAAATTCTATGAGCGGCTCCGGGGCCCGCCCGCGAAAATTGATAGATAGATATCCAGGTGAGGATTTGATCGTCGGTCCACGGATACGCATCCGTCCAATCGTGAAGTTTCTCATAAATCCACGCGAGCAATGCGACGGGGGAATCGTGCAGTGCGTAGGCGAGTGTTTGCGGCTTGGTAGATTGTTCCAAAAAGTATCCACGGCCTTCCTCCTCGAACCATTTGGTTCGAGCGAGTCCCTCTAGCTCGGCCTGTGAATAGGAAGTGGATGCCTCTTGGTCGGTGGGAGGTTTTCCTATGACCATGTTGATATGGCTTGCTTTGCACTGTGTGATGTTAATATCTTTATAGACATGCCGAATGTACCCAGAATCCAAGACAGAACACTCACATGTTTAGGATACAATTTCCCGATAGCTCTCGTGATAAACATACCCCAATCTCCACCCTGCGTAACATACTCATCATAACCCAATTGCAACATCAATTTATGACAAGTTTCCGCATACTGAGCTACAGCAAATCCACGTTTCTTGACTCCTTCGCTAAATCCATAATTGGGAAGTGAAGGGGCAACAATGTGGAATGCTGGACCTCCTGGTTGTTGAAGAAGTGGAAGAAGCTGGACAGCTTCCAAGAATGATCCTGGCCCTATTGATACATTCACTTTAGCATTCACCGCTTCTCCCTCCCAAACACTCTTCACCAGTCCTCAACCCCACGCCCTAAAGAAAAGAAAAGAAAAGAAAAGAAAAGAAAGAGAATCACGCACACCCATGAACAAAAAGCAACGGCACCGCCCCCTTCACCTCACTCTTCTGCCACAAAAAATGCACATCCAATTCCCCAAAGCCATCGACCTCGACACCCGTCGTAAACTGAGCTCCCTCCAGCTTCTTATTGAGATTTTCTTCTGCAACTCTCCAATCCCATTGCTCCCACGCTTTCGCCAGCCGCTTCACATCGGACAACGGAGCACCCATATCCCATTCAGCATTCTCGAGTTCGTCGGGGAATTCGGCGAGGGAAAGCTTGGTTTTGAGCGTGTCGATTTTGGCTTGGGGGACGGAGATTTGGAAGGGTTGGGGAGACATGTTGATTTGAGGTGATGTGATGTAATGTGATTTGAGGGGTGTGATGAGTTATTTGATGGAGATAGGATGAGGTATATCAGATAAGAAAGTAGATAATCTTAGAGCCCGCCGTCCAATTCAAGAAACCCAATGAATCAATTGATGAATCCAACTTCCAACCAGCAAACTATGAAGGCCAGTAATCAAATCGCTAGTAACCACAGAAGAAAGTAACGAAACAACATCCGATAATCCCAAACATACCTACCTACATATACCTCCCACGCCCTCGCACTTCGGAGCAACCTACCCCGCATCAAACCAACCAAGGCTTCACGGCTTCAACGGGATCAACGGTCCCGAGGTCCACCAGTCCTAGGTAGGTAATAACCACGACATCTATCGTCCACCGGCTCTCATGCACTTACTCATCGTATGACGTTAATACGCGCAGGAAAAGCTCTCCACGCTGCGTATAAAAGGTACTAGGTAAATTTCCAGACCCGCAATTTTTGGACCCCGAAAAAGATATCCTATTATCCTTCAAACCTCTTGATCACATACCTACGTAGGATGTCCTTATTTTTAAGGTTTCGGGATTATGTAGGTCCACGGGTAGTCTTGCATATCTCACTGGTAGTATTAACTATCTGTCTACTATTGATTACTCATGAAATCAACTCCGAATCTCTATTTTCTAAAGAGTAACAAATAACGATACTATACCTACCTAGTATCACCCTTCCCCTCGAGGTTCTAATCTCCCATCCTCAATATTATTGCCCCATCTCCAATACAGCAAACCTCATCCTCTTCTCCCTCTTCTCCTTCACACCTCTTCCCAAAAACAACAACAACAACAACAACAACAACAACAACCACCAAATCCCCAGATCCTCAGATATCAAGAAAAAACCAATCAGTTTCCACTAAATCAATAATCCCAAGTATCCCATACTATAAAATTCTCTCTTTTGCCTTTAGCTAAATGTATCTACTGTATATCGGTACAATACACCTACCTATACACCTGTATATACCCCTCGAGCACCCCTCTTATTAAACTTCCCATCCTCACCTCCTCCACCATCCCATCCCATCCCATCCTCCAAAGCACACCCACCAGGATCGGAAACTCGGAATCATATCATATCATATATTCTGCAAATGCACTGCAAATGCAATGCAAAGAAGTGGACTCCAAACTCCAAACTCTAAACTCGAACTCAAAACTCGAACTCCAAACTTGAGAATCGGGAATCGGGAATCGGAATCGGCTTAACATTCATCAGAGCAGGACAGCACAGGAAGAAGTGGATTCGAGAATCGGCATCGGCATAACATTCATTCATCAAGAAAGCGTACACTTACTTACACTATACATGCTTTGCTTCATATAAACATTGTCTATACTACAGTATATCCGTACTTTGTACGAGGGCGTGTTTTTATTGAAGGCTCGATTTAGATTTAAGTGACTTTTCTCACCAAAAACTATGCTTTATTTACTACTTTTATAAATAGATAATAATTCAAAAAATCGTTATAAAACTTTGAAATTCAAAATATACACAGAGATTTAATTGATTATTCTTTAATATTCGATTGGATATATACTAATAAATTTTATATATAATTTTGATTTATAAAATAAGTATTATTTTCTATAGTAATTTCAAGTATCAATAATATATTATATATTTTAAATTAATTGAAAGATTTAATAAAAATTTTAAAAATGTATTATAATAATTTTCATTAGATTTTATTTTTATTAGAAATTTTGAATATATAATAATACCAAATTAATTTAATATTGAATTCTAAAGTAGATGATTTTGAATATAGAAAGAGCTTACGCACAGATCTGGGCCCTCAATAAAAACACGCCCTCGTAGAGACGAGGTAATTCATCCATCCCAAATTCATCCAATAATCCATTTATCCATCCCAAAATCAAAGATTCAAATAGACTCTCATATACCTACCCACTCATCCACCCATACATTAAGCTTCTCAATCTCTCAATCTCAAAATCTACCATCACTATATCCATTTAAACACATTCACATTGTCCCCCCCACATACACACACAACACATAACACAATCAAACAACACCATTCATTCATTCATTCATTATAAGTTCAATTATCAAGTACCTACTCTCGTAAACTACTCTCGCAAACAACCCTCATACACTACCTACCTACCCAGGTAGCTAACCACCTCAATATATCCATCCACACAACGACAAGAACGCCATTACTTTAACATGAACCCATTAGCGCCTCATCCATGAGGTATTACCTGATTCTCATTACGCCTATAAACATCCACATCAACATCAACAACATCAACATAACATTAATGTGCATATCAATCTATCTCCTCTACTTCCGCTTGCGCTTCAACTCCCAATTGACATCTTCAAATTCATCTGCCAATTCATCCGGGATACCCGATTCTTCCATAACTCCCAGGGGTAAATCAGGCGTAACTGGTTCCGTAACCAATGCCTCTTCTGAAGACATTGATTTCTCAATCCCTTTATCGCCAAGAAGAAAGTCTCCAAAGTATTTGATCACATTGAATACTTCTTCTCCCGTCGGAATAATGTTTTCCTTGGGGAGTAAAAACCCATAGCTTCCAGTATCTCGGAGCTTAATTTGATAACTGTATCGCACGCGTAGTTCGTGATAAAACCAATCGATAGCGGAACCACCTCCATTTTCCATTCGGCTTGTCGATAAGTGGCCTGGTATTCTCGAGGAAACGGCACCTTCACAAGCGGAAGCAACAGTATATTGTTCGCCACTAGAAATTCTAATAGCCTTTGCAAGTCCCATACCAAGTTCTTCCAAATTTTCCAGACTAGGTGGGTCGGCCAAGCAAGAATAAGAATAAGGATATAAAACTTGTTGAGAGTATGAATGTAAATCCAAGAAACCAACAAAAAGGACATTATTGTTCTCCGTCTCATTCTTAGCCCATTGTGCAAATCGATGGGATTCAACAGCCTGGAAAGGTGCATCCCCTGGGTAACTTTCGGAACAAGGATTACTTTGAGTCGATGCACCCCATTCAAAACCGAACCCACGGTCTAGATCAACACCTCGACAGAATCGAAGATTGGTTTGTTGTCTATTCTTGCGCCATAAACGGTCGTTCTCCCAAGTGTACACATATCCATCCACATTAATAGCAGGAATGAGGACAAAGTCGAATTCTTGTAGAAGCTTTGTGATAGCAGGCGATTTCCCATAAGAAGTAATCAAAGACCAGGCAGTGTATGTAACGGAGCTCACAGATATCCATTCTCGAGCATGGAATCCACCGGATAAAATGATAGTTTGTCGTGGCTTAAGATTCTCCGAAGGTAGATTTGGCGATACGCCAATCCTTAAAGCTGGGATGTCGCGACCTTCGTAAGAAGTTCCAATGCTAATCATTCGAACGTGTGTTGAGAACATGGAAGACATAAGGCGCATCCATGGTACAATGACGGATAGTGGTTGATAGTTTTGAAAGAATACGTTGTCCATCCCATCGACAGTGCTAGTTCTCAAAGCTGGGGTGAATGCCCTTTCAACATGTTTCGAGGGAAAAGCTACATCAGCATATGCCGTCGATGGATACGATTGATAAATACTCTTCGCCAAGTCAGGCATTAGATAAGAGTATGAAGTCTGTAGAGATTTCGGCAAAAGGCCGAGTAAGGAGGGAATCTTTTTCATCAGTTAGCACTTCGACAACAGTAAAGATTGTTTCACGTACATCATCTTCTCTCAGATGGATATCCGCCCAGTTACTTGTGAACTCCCACACATCTAGGAAAAGTGTTTCTGCAGCTTCTGCCAAAGCTTGTTCCTCCGCTGGTGTTGTGAGATTGAATCGAAGTACCTTATCGCCGCCATATTTTGCAAGTAAAGTCGCTGGGAGTTGGATATTGGACGGTCGCGACACACTCCCTGGTAGATGGGGTTTCTTTGCGACCTTTGGGGGAAGACGGAAGATCTTTTCTATCGCAGTATCACGCAGCCAGTTTAAGTTGGGGAGCACATTGCGGTATTTAATGCCCGACTCTTCCTGTGGAGGATATCGCGGGGTTACAGGTGACAAGTGAGCATGACCATCCGTAGCCCAAGGTGCTGCGACGACATACGGGATACAAAGGAGACTTGATACCAGAAGTATAAACAATGATAATGTCGAGTGAGATTGCGACATAATTAATTTCGCATTTAGGGATTGATTGAACTGTCAACAGACAATGAAGGTTGTGAGGTTGTGGGTCGTGCTTGGAATTATATTTGAGATGATTCGAGGGAGAGATAAAATAAAGATTTTAGGAAGTGGATAGATGGTACTAAAATGTCATTCAGGCCTAGAAGGTTGCCTGGTTCCTCGAACTAATGATTGGTAAGATGGATTTCAGAAAGATGGTAATGTTGTTGAAAGACCCAAATATCAGACGGTATAGTAACAACGTATCAATTTGATATATCGTGTTTATTGTAAGATTCTGATTGTTATAACTGCCAAGTTGTCTGGTAGCCATACCTACCTATTCAAACATATACTACTAGGTAATACTCCTACCTAGTAGTATACTTTGGTTTGAATCTCATCTATCTCATCTATCGCATCCCATCTCATCCCATCTCATCCCATCTCATCCCATCATCTATTCATATATGTTACAGCTTATCTGCGGCGATACAGAAATGACCTGTAAATATAGGTAAGATTACATCAGTACATAGCTCACCTGGAAACTCCAATAAGAAAGTAATTGGAATTCTCACCAAAGAACTTTCCTCTAGCATCTTCACTTCCGACGGCGTCACAAGTAGCGTCCAAAACATTATGCCAATGATCGTCGAAGTTTCCTTATGTAATTTCGTCACCGATTGAGGTCCGAAAGATTCGAGAAGTTGCTGGATAGGATGTGTTCCGTCCGCAGGAAAACTATCTACTGGGTACACCACCCATATAACTGTAGATCTGCTGTTTGAGGTGATACCTGGAGACGACTCTGGATCCGTGGTTTCATCTAGGGGTTGCGCTTTGTCCATTGAAGCCATTGTGTATAGTGTACGAGGAGTGGGAAATGGTTTGGAAGTGACGCGTAGTATTTGTCGTTCATCGAATTGTCTAGATTTCTCTTGACAATGCTTGGGGTGATGCTATTCATTTCCTCTGTGTGAATCAGCTCATCGGGGGTGGGTTTACATATCAGGCAGGTAGTACCTTATCATAGACAACGGGCCTTGTCTTAGAGGATGCGTGTGAACGAATACATTGTTCATTTGGCATCTGACTGAACTCTACAATAATAGATTTGAAACATTGAGAGATGATAGACTCGACACTTCATTACTTCATACCAATAATTGCTTTTTTTCTGAATACACTGTCGCAGCAGTTCATTGGTTTGCGATTCACTCAGAATTATCTACCCGTCTTCAATCGGATTCACGGTCAGTGAATCAATTGCCAATAAATCGCTTGTGGGCTATTATCATTCATCTCGTATCTTTGTTGATTCTTCTTACGTAGATCAGATATTCAGCTGTATACGTTGGCAATATTGACTGGTTGAGGGAAGGGTTACCGCATGGAAGAAAATTCTGGTCATCAATATTGTGTATTGTATGGAGGGCCAAGAAATGCGTTGTAGCCTTGTAGGTAGGTAACCTTGATCTTGATGAAGAATTTGGATGGTGGCTAGATGATTCAATTATCGATATGGCCAATTGGATGGTCATAACCGGTCTTTCATCTGCATAGAGATACATTGAATTTGTATACCATGTGTAGAGTGTACAGATATCTTGTTTGGTGCTTGCCCCTCTCTCTTTGCGTTTCTCATCTCATACGACAGAACTGATCTCATACGACAGAGCAAGAGAGGGGCAAGCAGCTTATCCATGGATCGTCAAAGAGTGGCTGGGCTGATGTAGGAAGAATGTACGTTGTCGTAAATGGTGACGACGAAAAGATCAATCCTTCTCAGGTGTCTCTCAGATGGCCCTCAGATGTCCCTCAGACGTGCCTTTGACGAGACCTCTCCAAATGTATGAGCGTCAGCGTCACTTTTTTCCCACGAGGGATCCCAATTCCAACGGTTCATTAGGGGGGGGTTTTTTTCCCCCTCCCACCATGCAGATCATTCAACGCTTTAGAACATTCCACCATCCAAAATAGAAGGGCAAGTCAAGGACAGCTCAAGCCTAACGCAGCATGAGCTAAAAATAAGGCCGACCGCCTGCTTGAGTCTTCTAGAAAAACGGTTGGCCCCATCCCATCCCATGCACTGGCTCACTGGCTCACTGGCTCACTGGCTCGCTGGCATCCCGACGACGACTAGGTACCTTACCTTGTAGGAATCGCTATCGGATTTGCCCATGTCCAGGAAATTGCATTGTGGAAGCATCAAATTTTATTGATCCATATAAGCAACCACTTGGACCAGAGGGTAATCTTTACGTTCATCTCATCATATGGGGTATTGCAAAAGGTAGGTTTATATGTTTCAGAGTATTCTCCAAAGTGTAAATCTTTTTTTGGTCGAAAGGGGGAAATGATCATGGTGGTTTGGTGAAGGATTGGGGGGAGATGTGCGATACTTGCAGTTTTTTCCTCTTTCTCATAGCACATGGATAGCACACAGACAGCCCTAACATCTTCGTCTGCATCTTCAATGCATGGTATGGTATGATGGTGGATGAGTTTTAACCTTTTACCAAAGAAGCTTCACACGCGAATGGCAGAAAGGACTACTAGGTAGGTAGGTAGCAAGGTAGATAGGCCCGTATATAGGAATACTAAAAATACGGTTATTTGTAAACACGAGTTCTGGGTATCGATTTGATTTGGAAGTTTGTTTGGTATCTGATATTTGATATTTGATATTTGATCTTTGACGTTTGATGTGATTTGTGTTTTATTTATCCCTAGTAAAATGCAGTCAGGACATTCAGCAACACAACAGTGCAGTGAGATATACTAGGTAACAACTACTAATAAATAGATAGTATAGTATACCTAGTACTCACACTGTCTTCCAAATCTTGATAAGTCTCTCATGCATTATAATAAATGACCCTCAATGTGACCCTAATGGATTCTTTTCATTCTTGAACCCAACCATGTTTGCGTCATTCACCTCGGGCTCAGGGGAAGGGAAAGAAAAAAAAGGTCCAAGGTGTGGGAGGGATTTTCAGTCGTCCTGCTTCGTACTTGTTAGTATTAATAGTCAATAACTACCTAGGTAGTAATAAGTGTAATAAGTGTAATAAGTGTAATAAGTGTAATAAGTGTAATAAGTGTAATAACTAGATAGATAAAACTTAGTTACTCATAAATAGAATTTGTAAATTATTGATCCCATCCCATCCCATGCCTTTTTTCCTCTTGCCTACCTTACTTATTACCTACCAAGCTTTTATTACGCCTCATTGTGCATTTGCTATTGCATTTTGAATTTTAACTTATACGATTCGTTAAAATTGATTTGATTTGTTCACTCGTACTTTTGGGTTTTTCCCTCTCCTCTCCTCTCCTCTCTCTCACTCACTCTCTCTCTCTCTCTCTCTCTCTCTCTCTCTTCCATATTTACTTTTTCTCGACCTATTATGCCCACTCCCCATTGTCCACCAACCACCAATTACCCCCCCAGTCCAGAACCTCAGAACCCCGTTTAGTCCTTTCCCTCTTATCCACTTGTTACGACTCTCCTACTTTCCCAAGCATCTCTTCCCTACCAGATCAGCCTCATACGAAGGGATACACACAACTCTTCAAACACCCCATCACCAATTCAATCCTACACTCCATTTGCAAATGTGATTTTTTTTCTCTGCAGCTGAAACAAGAATACTCACCTTGCTTCCTAATTATCCCTCGGGGTAGGATCAATGTTGTTCGACGTTTCTCCAAAATGCCATTACTACGTCGTCGTGCTGCTGCCAGCGATGCTGAAATGCGACGACATAGCTTCTTTCCCGTCGATTCAAACACTCTAAATCCAATTCTCGATACCGAACTTCCAGATGGCAGAGCGAGTGAACAAATGCCACGACGTCCTTCGCCTGGAGATTTCCCTTCAAATGCCGCAGAACCAGGAACAATGACATCGTTACCCATGTTAGTTAGACCTGCCACAGATTATCCTGCTGCGCTTCAGCGATCGGGATCACCACCGATACAGGAGGAAACTTCGAAACATCGTCGCTTCTCTATGTTAAGGTTTCGACATGCTTCCGACTCACAATTGTCCACAAGGTCGCGATTACAGGCTCAGAGTTCAATAGCGGAAGATGCTCCTCCAATCCCTCAGCGCAAGTATTTTTTTCCATTTGATGTCACTCCTCAACATTTCGAGGCATTTAATTTGTGCAACAATTTAATTTGAACTGAACAATTGCTTGCTAGGTCTACCTTCTTGGCGTAGTGCTGACAGTATACCAGCCCCAGAGATTATCACCACGGCTCCAACCATGGATTTCAATGGAGGACGCCCAATGAAGAAAAAGTCGCGGGTTAGACTTCCCGGCCGTACCAAATCGACGGCGGTGAATAACAATCGAGCGAAGCAACAAGAGCAACCGCCATCACAACCAGAAGATACATCGGATATTGAAATGCTCTCTAAGAAAGAGCGAAGAAAGACAATGTCAGAGTCGGGACCGAGCAATAAGAGCCGTGTTACTTTTGACGAACCCAATCGCCCAATGACCCATGGCAATGGTGGCTCACCTCCTGCATATGGAGACGAAGCGTCCTCGGCATTGGCTCTGCCAGTAAATAGACTTTCGGAATCTTCAAGGTCAGATGCAAGCTCGGGCGAGCATGGAGTATATGCAACGACCACGACAACTACGCACACTGTCCAAACAACAACAACCTTCTTTCGTCTTCCTCGTCGGAAGAAGCCTGCTCCATTATTCGATCTGAGCCATCTTCCACAAAAGTCCGCGCAAAACGATGCTTCGAATTCGCTTTCTGTTACGAGATACCCCACTGCTCCTTCGCCCGACTCGGCTCGGGCCATAACCCCCAAATCATCGGACGACCTGACGCCGCAAGGCTCTCATTCTCCATTCCCACCGTCTCCGACTCACACCCCTTCCTCTCCCACTGCTTTGATGAAGACATCGTCGGGTCTAGGTCGGCCAAACACTCCCTTATTACGACAAGGTTCCACTGCGTCATCTTCGAGATCGTCACCCACCCGTTCGAGATTAACGCTGCGCGGTCGTTCCTCCACTTTGAGCTCACTGAGAAATGCACCAAATGAAGACTCTTTACCGACACCGACGTTACCATCGACCAGGACTTCTACATCCACTGGCAGGAAAAGCTTTGGCGATTTATTCAATCTTACAGCTCGATTGCGCCAGAATCCCGAACCGGGAAATAGTTCTGGACCTACCACCCCTGCTTCCAATACTTCGAAGAACAATTCTATGCAATTGAACCGAGAAGAGGCTATCATTCTACCGGAACGATACGATGATGACACACCAGCTAATTATTTAGTCAGGCTTGAAGAGGCAGTTAGTCGAGGTGTTGTAGCTAGCGTATTGTCGAAAGGAACGGACTCTTTCTCTCAGGCCGTTCTTCGTAGCTATATGAGAGGATTTGGGTTCTTTGGAGATCCTATGGACATGGCCATTCGAAAGTTGCTCATGGAAGTGGAGCTCCCAAAAGAGACACAGCAGATCGATAGATGTTTGCAAGGTTTTGCAAACAGGTATCATGAGTGCAATCCTGGCATCTATGCATCTCCTGACCAAGCCTACTTTATCGCATTTTCACTTCTTATTCTACATACAGATGTATTCAACAAAAATAACAAACATAAAATGACAAAGGCAGACTACATCAAGAACACCCACGGCGAAGGAATCTTTGACGAAATTCTGGAATGCTTCTATGATAACATTTCATATACACCCTTTATCCACGTGGAGGATGACCTAGATATCAATGGCGAGAGAATAATACCCCACAAAATGAAAAAGAAGTCAAAGATGCTTCGGGGAGGTGGCGATCCTAACAAACGTCCCTCGAAGGAACCTGTTGACCCTTATACTTTGATTCTCGATAGCAAACTGGATACTCTGCGGCCCAATCTAAAGGATGTCATGCATCTTGACGAACATTATAGTTATCTCGGCACTGCACCGTGTTTGAATCTACAAAATTTACAAAAGACGTTCTTCAAGACGGGTGTTTTACAGATTGTTTCGGCCAGATCACGACCAGATGCCTTCATGTCGGAAAAGACTGTTACAAACCCTGAGGAAGCA